CATTTGCATGGAAGACTTTGAAGAAAGAGCCCTCTCATCCACACATATAAAAACAAGTTTCTACAGACGTTATGTTGACGACACTTTCGTTATCTGGCCCTACGGTCGTAAAAACCCAACAGCCTTCTTACAACACCTTAATTCCACAGACAGGAATATTCACTTCATCAGGGAAATAGAAGAACAAAATAGTTTAGTTTAGTCTTTTTTGCTCTTCACTTTTTATTCTTACCGTTACTCCCACGTTTACCTTTTTAAATTACATACCTTGTCTGCATTAATTTCCTGCTTTCTCAAGTTAAGCCCATGTTCCTAGACCACGAGCGGGGTGAAGGAGGATTGTCTAATCTTCGAGCACCCTAGATTAGTAATTATTTCTTCGGAAATAATTATTTTTAAATCTAAATAACTGCCAGAAATAATAAATACACACACTGAGTCTACTACGAGATTATATTAACATCGGTACTTATGTCAATACATTAGGAATGACTGCCTTTCCACAAATGGCTGGAGACAGAGAAAGACAGCAGGAGCTAAGACTTGATGGGCCAAAGCACTCAACTCCTAACCCCTAATTTTATCTTTCGTAATGGCTAACTAGTCGAATTTGCGTTTGGATCATGTTACGACGTGGGCTAGATATGCTCACCATGCCCGCCTCCCATAACAGTATAAGACCGGTATTTAGAGCCCATTCAAAAAGATGTCATCAGTAAATATTTTAAGATGAACTTTCTGTTTAGCTAGGAGGTGTCGTGCAACCTGCGACAAGTTTTTGGCACTCTAGAAAACAAGGGGTGCCATCGCTTCTGGGCCTATTTTTCAATGTTGTGGAAAGGATGACTGTTAATAATTAGTATATCTTGAAAGAGTGAACATTTTCCTTCGAAATTACATATTATTGGTGCATATACGATAAAGTATTACCACAGAGCAGTTTCTAGAAGAAAATATCGCTCATGTCCGTTTTCCGTTCAAATCACGACTTGAACAGAGGTTCCAGCTTTCCACTGACAACTTCCAACCAGGCTCTTTTGTTGACCTTGGTATATCTTGTTGAGGGACATTCCTAATAACTTCAAGGAGATCTCTGATATCCTGCCCAAGAAGTCAGATCTCGTCTTCAGTACTTACATGTATAGAGAAGGATGGATCAAAGAAAGAGAAAGACGTGGCTGAAGTGATCGTCAGGGGCCAAATGACTCCAAAACCTGTAAACGGAGGAACTTTATGCTGTGGAAAGTTGCAACCTCTGTGGTTTGAAGGACATATCCTTCCAACAGAAATCCCTAAGGAAGATGTTAGCGGGAAAAGCGACAACCCAAGCTCTTCCGATGAAGACTCCGATCACAGCAACTTAAGAGAGACAGATAATTTGGACTGAAAAACTTTTCTGATATTATGTATAAATGTAGCAGAAATAGGCCTATACCATGCTAATAATTTACAGTATTTTCGTTATTATTATTTGTGATACATTTCAGTCAAGATAATTATTTAATTTACATTTTACGTTATTATTATCTTTATTTATTCTTGTTCAAATGGTAGCTTCTTTTTATTAAAATGTGCATTTTTTTGTTTATTAAGAAATGACATATATGATCATACCTCACGATACAGCTACCAAAATATGTAAATACTCGTGTACCTAATTTAAATTTATAATATTCATTATAATCACATTTTAATTTTCGCTAACTAAAAATAATGTTATATGTTCATTAGTTAAAGTCGTCATTTTAACGCAAAACAGTCATGAGCGATATTTTAGTACGTACTTCTAGCTGTTCTGTGGTGATATTGTATTGTTAATGGACCAATAATACACTATTTTAAGAAATAAAACGTTCCTTCTGTCAAGTAAAATTAATCATTCACAGTAACCGTTTCCACAACACTGAAAAATAGGCCCAGAAGCTATGGCACTTCTTGTTTTCTAGAGCACCGAAAAAAAAACGTTTTTAGATATTTACTGTTAAAGTACTTTTTATTGTTGAATGGACTCTTTAAAGAAAAAGAAATGTCGGTCTTACACTGTTATGGGATTGGGGGGGGGGGGTACGGTGACCATATCTGGCCTATGGACTCTGTCTGATAGATCGAATATCCTCAACACCATTCGGGTACTATCACCACAAGCATGTGTGTTAACAGATAATGAGAAGAACTAGCAACGGACATCTTCATTTTCTTTTTTGTTAGTCTTATAATACATCTCGGTTTTGGTTTTTATATATGTAATATGGATATATATAAAGCGGTTGAGACATTATATTAAAACGGTTTTGGGGGCCCATCAAGTCATTACAGTCCACTGCCACTTCCAGTCATGCTCTACCCGATTACCATGCACTTTGTTTTACATCGCAATAGACTTCGCCGTTAGAATTTGTCCAAAGCACGCCCCTGCTCATGGACTTTCCATCAGCTAGTGTATAAGGTTGGCGATTTCCCAGTACCTGTTTCAACAGCCTGATTACACATCGATGGGTGCTGCATCTGGCGACTTGACTAGTATGCCTTCATATAGAAAACCATGAATACCAGTTTTATCCTTCAGCTGCTTGAGGCATGCGACAGTTGAAATAATATATTGTAGAAGCAGCTTGTGTACACGAGACTGGTTCACTTTTGAAGATGAAGGTCCACCTTGCTTATGTGGTATGCTGTTGATTGGACACATAGACGGCTTTTGCCACAAACCTATATGCTCAGGGATTCCCACCTACTAAAAGACCCACACACTTTGCTTTCCACGGCTAGAGTACGACTTTTTGCAGACATCTCAATGGATAATCCAAGTTGATCCATATTCATTGTTTCTCAATGCTAATAAGTGCAAACAAACATGCTCGTTTTTTCAAAGAGGGAAGGCTGTCAAGTGGGTTGCATCCTTGACATAAGAAACAGCTTTAGAAACGATGGCAGATCTTGCTCTGCCATCGGCTCAACGGTCCGCAAGGACTATGAGAAATGAAAAAAAAAAAAATAAAAAAGTACAAGGGATATCCTTATCTTTGAAGATTATAAATCCATGATCTTAACATATCTTTATGATTTAAGTATAAAAACATCTTGCATAAAAAAGGGTTCTTACATACCCTTCCCAAAAGCAATCAATTTTGGGTGGTGTCACACTACATAAAAAAACAACAACGTCAAAATAAAGTTTCACAAATTACTTTATATCGCTGTGAATTACTGCTTTGCATATTCAAAATCATTTTAATGTAATGTATTCAGATGAAATTGACTTAGGCAGCCTTGTACGATTCACTTTAATGCCACAAACTGAAGGGTTAATTGAATAAAAGCTTTCACAGCATAACAGCTGCTCTACATAGCTGTTAAAGACTATTGAAAATACAGTAATACAATACTTAGTAGTTAATACTATTAACAAGCTGTTACTAACATGAAGAAACACCAAATATATAGCTGTTGCAATGCTTACACAAGTTGAAAAAGCTCAATTGGGTATTATTTTAAAAAAATCGCTGTCCGATTTGGTTATATAAGGTTTTGTAATGTGTGTTTAATATTTTTAACGTTATTATTACATACAGTTTGTAAATGAAACCTGTACAATTTGTGGAGCACTCCATTATCGGCATGATTGTTGTTTCTGTGGCTGAGGAACAACATATACACTGGAACACTTGGACACGTTGCTTTTGTCTTACTTTTATGCTGCATATAAATATTTTACATATACCAACACTGTTGGAATGTTGAAGTGTACATTGTTTTAAACATGCAACAGTGCTGTGTTATAGAACTGCTCTCCCATGCTGGTAAGTTTGCCATTTGATTCTAACTCCACTAACTAGTTGCAATATCTGGTTGGGGTGGGGGACAAAACCAATGTGCAAATTAAATAACAGAAGGCTTTGATCAGCCCGATATTAAAGTTTGAACAGATGTCCAAATGTATTATTATAATATAAGCTGACACTGACTAAGCTAGGTATATCAGGATAGGAAACATTATTCACTGAATTAGCTTAAGAACGTTCAGAAGTCTGTTCACTGACCCCACAGTACACAAAAACTAACAAAGTGCAATGGGCAGCTTTAGGGACTGGCAAAGCAACCTCAGCCATTCAGAGTAACCTATTACTCTCACAATGAGTTGGGCTAAACCACAAAGGCTAGGGAACCTAAATGTCCATTCCATTCAGATAATTAAGCCACCAGGTGGAGCATCATGAAATACATGCCAAAACATTCGCTGTCATTCAACTAAACTGGCCTCAAAATAGAGGAGTTAGTTTTACAAAGCAGCAACTAGGAATATTAAGTACCAGACCTCTACCAATCAACATAAATGAAATGACAGGCATCCTTTTCAACAGAATATAACCAACTTACACAGTAGTCAACTTAAAACTATTTCAGCAGGGAGGTGAAGGTCCACAGGATGGTAGTTCAGTACATGTGAATCATAAGGAGCATACTCACAGATGCTCAATTAAAATACCATTGAAGAGAAGGTAACAAAACTGATTGTGTCACATCAGCATAATACTTATTAAAGTATAAGTTATGATACTATTCCCAACTGTAGCAGTGTAGTGATTGCATTCAACAAAAGGCAGCTACTCAAAAGCAACATTTGCCAACTTATCTCCCCAACCAATGAAGTTCAACTGTCACTCTTATAATGGACCACTGACCCAAAAAGGTAGAACACATTTTTGTGGCAACAGGATGCAATCCATAAATCCTTTGGAGTCAGTCTAGGCACATTAACCATTAAGTCAAGACCGGTCTTTATTCAGTTTTTCACATATCTAAAGAGGAGTATATTTCCTAACAAAGTTCAGCCCTTTTTGTATGAAAATACTTGGGCAAAGAAAAAATATTATTAAAAAAAATTAACATATATATATTTTATTACAACAAGAAAATGAGTGATGACCAAAAATATGTACATAAAATTTGTTAACAAAATACAAGAAATACTGCACCTTTCAAAACATTTCTTTATGGATACCACAGAAGATTTTATATATATACATTTTTTTTTTAATTTACAGGAATATGCTTTTAGATACAAATGAAACTGGGTGGCCTACTATATCCACAAAGCCATCTTGAACACTTACTTTGTACCAAATTGAGGTATCTGTACACTTAAAACAAAGATTGCAAAATGAAATCTAAAGAGTTAATAAAATTTGTTATACGCAGGAAAATTAGGTAACTTGTAAGTTTTTAAGGTATACGATCTTAAAATCAAAGGCTAAAACCTAATTAGATTACTTTCTACCTGCAGGATGAATGAAACTTGTACTCTTTTACATTAAGTTTTCAAATCACTTAGGATTATATGTCCCCATTTTCAAGTAACACTGGATTTTTAACTGATGTTATACTACTAAGTCAATGAACAGGTTTTTTTACACATGCAACATTAAATCACTAACTAATCTCTTTTTTTTTATTGTTTCATTATAAAAACACCAAACACTAAACAATTTGTTATACCACGATGAAACTGTTAAAGAAGTATTTACAAAAGTTTATTTACATCATAATACATTGAATACAATCTAAACCTAGGTACAAAACCTGATGGAATTTCCAGGTGGTGACATACCAATTAATAGATCAACAAGGGACAAATCTTTTTTTTCGTGCTTGCTTTTTTTTCAAAGGGAACAATTCAGTGTAATTGCTTTTGCATTACATCAAGTGAGACTCCACATCATTAAATAATTGTTTTTCTGCTTAAAATAAGATAATGTACCTTTACAGAACAATACAGCCTCTTTTTACCTTCTAATAAAATATTATATATATATATATAGAGAGAGAGAGAGAGGCATAACTACTTTTTACTATCATTTTCATCAAATCTATCAGCCTTTGTTCACCATATGTTAATGTAAGCCTGTGGTTATATGTTCCACTCAACATCCATTATTGTAAGGTATTTGACATTTTTTTAACCAACAGATTTGTTAGTTTCCATTGGAAAAAAATTATTTTAAACTTTTTTTCTAAAAGTCTGGCACCATAAGTATATTAAGACAGTGTAAAAATTTTTAAGCTATAAAATTAATACTCATATACTTGTCTCCTCCACTTTCTTGCCCAATTTTTAAAAGTGAATGTTATTTGGTTTTAAAAAAATGTTTCAACCAAAAAGTTCATACGAGATGTATAATTATTATCCTACCAAAACTATCTTATTGACATTTACATTTAATGTTTGTGTTTTTAATGTTCAGCAACCTTATTACAATAGTTTTCAATTCATATCAACTTGGGATACCTGAAAGTTGACTAAAAAACTAATAACAAGTATAAGCAAAAAGATTATCATGTTTTATTAAAGTGAGATTTTTATCTGTTGTAATTTATACAAAAAATCATGTTGCATACAGTTTTTCAGACAAAAAAACAACAAACACTGAGCTAATAAATCAAAATGTATTGATAGCTGAAACAATTTTATCTTATGCAATATCTTCAGAAATATGTTACAAGTTCCCTGGAATTCTGACAACTAAATGATAGGAGCTAAAACCATACACAACATCAACAGCTGCTACAAATATGAAGTGAATTTTAAATAAATGGCAGTAATGTTTCAAAAAATACCAGTCTACAGTACTTCAACTAATTAGTCATGTTTAAAAGTTAGGGAATCACTGTCTATCTTTGCAACTATTCTCAATCTTAAAACCAACTTTCAAATGTTTCTTTTTTCAGAACAGCAGAGTTTCAGATCTATGATGTTGTAATCAATAATTTGACTCTTCTAACATAGCATAATATTAGAACACATATTGTTCTTGAAACAATGAATGTAATGATTTATCAGCTCTATTACTCTTCATAACAGTCTACCCCGACATTCTGAGGATCCACAGTAACAGTACATTACTTTACCAGGTACACTGCCTACATCATAATTGTAGTCCCATGTCAGTTCAGTGCCTGCACGAATGTACCTGAAATATTTTAAAGCTAATGTAATAACATCATAATAAAGAATATTGAGCAAAACACAAAATTAAAAGTGTCTTCAAACCATAACTAAAAATGTATATATTTCTACACTTTAAGCATTGTAAATGCAAATAATGTGAATCTACATTGAAACAACAGACTCTTACTTTACTAACTTAATATGTTATTTTATGTCAAAAAGGAAATATTATTTCTGTACAATGCAATTTAATATCATATATATATATAATGCATTACCGTTATCAGTCCAAGTTGTCAACTTATTATCATAACGGATAATGTCTGTGGCATTAGCAACCAAATGCATTGGGGATATCCCATCTATCAGTTTCATATATATACAAGTACTAACCACACATTAATCTTTTAATTACTATCAATAGTTCACAACCATCTTGCAATTAAAAGATTTACAACAAACATTCTTATAAGAAAGAAATGTTTCAATATTACCCGTTAAGATTACATCCATATTTCCTAAAAACCTGGATTTCAAACCAAGATTCTTAACTTTTGTTCAAATATATGTATATGCACAAAAGGCAAGATGAAATATAATGTTTTCAAACTGGCCATGAGATAAATATAAATTATTCTCATTCCTTCACAAGAAACAAAGTGCTAGTATTGAATAATTTCATTCAACTTTAATGAATGTGGATTCTTAAAGTCCTAAAAATATAACAGGTTTGTCTGATCATAACAATTATATTGTTAGACATTCCATGCATGTCGTAAGAAACCTTTTACAATTACTAAAATTTGCAGTATGAAAAACTGATCCACAACCCAAATGGTTCTTAATATTGTCAGGTCCTTTGTTTTTCACTCTCACTGATAATTATAAATTGGATACTGCAATTAATATAAAAGGCACAAAGCTATGGGAAAGAGCCTCTCTCACATCACAGTTTTTGTAAAGACAATCATGTCCAGACACTTATAAAAAAAATTATCTAGTATCAATATATTCAAGTTCATTCTAAACTCGAATCACATCTGAATAATTGCACTGTAGTTTCAGTATTATTATACTTTTCTCACAATTAATAACCATATTCCAAAATAGTGTTTTCTTACAACAAAGATAACTTTTCAGTAAAGACTGAAATTAGCAATATAAGTTCATTAGTTACATCCAAGAAAAATGATTTCAAAATGTCATAATCAACTTTGACTACATTTTAGAACAAAGTATTATAGAAATTTTCCCTGATGCAAATTCTATTGCTGTTTGAAAATATCTAAAACCTACTGATGACATTTCCTTTATTAAATCTATCATATTCTGGATTAGTGCATCCTGCCATAAGACAAACTGCACATTGAATTATAGATTATAGAAAATAAACTTGTAGTTATTCTTTCAAAAAAAAAAACTGTTTAAATTTATACATAAAAAAAAAAACATTTTGGGTTGATTTCAGAATTCCACAAACAAAATAGTGTTTGTGAATCTCATGAATTCTTTCTGACCATGATACAGCACTCATAGCACCCAAGGAGAAAAGTGATAGTAGCTTTGAACAAAATAATTTTGATTTGACCTTTTAACTTAATACATCTAATTTTCCAATTTTAACCAATCATTTTTTTCTCAAGCTTGATTATCATGATGCACTATAATTGCCTATATCTCAGCTTCAAAAAATCACATACTAGTAATCTAAGCATTTAGTGACAGTTTTTCTTCTGTTCTTTTCAACAGTATAACCCATTATTACATCCAGTTCTATACAAATTCATAAAATCTGAACAAAATGATAAAAACCTAACTTAGTGACATGTTACTAGAAGAAAAAAACGTTTGTGAACAGTTTATGCCACAATTACAACACCAATTTTCTTAAAGCTTGCTTTATCATTTTATATTTCATTTGAATTATGATGTTGCAGTGTGATATTTTTCATAGAAGAAGATAAACTTAGTGAAACTATTTTGCACTTGACGATATCAAGTTTCATTTTGTGACAAGGTAATTGTGTTAGGCCATCTTTACATTAGGCCTTATCAACTAAAGTAATTGCTTGAATGGGCAAAGAAAATTGTTGGAAGGACATTAACAAAATTAATAAATATAAAAGCTTGTTTATGTATATTATGAAGTCTTCTGATTAACAATTTTTAAAAATATGCTTACATATAACATTTTCCTGTACTCCAGTGATAATTAAACACAGTCAAACTGCATGTGGTGTTTTTTAAATATCAAAACAAAGATAAGGTTTACAGCCTTATATAGTAAAATATTTACAGGGAAGATTTAGTTTTATAAAATAAAAACCATAAAGGGAAGTTTGAAAATTTAGGAAGACAAAAATCGGTAATTTGAAACTACAACAAAGGTAGACATCTTGACTTGTTTCTTAGAAGAGAAAAAAACCACATATAAAAATAATTTATCTGCATAGGTTACATAAATTGTAGAAAGTCCTTCTGAAGTTCCAAAGTATTTTATCATGTTTTCTTTTTTTTTTTTGTCAATGCAATAAAAAAAATTATACAACAGATGTGTTGAACCTGAGCAATACAGCAAAACCTTTACTTACTTAAAAAAAAAAATCCTAACAAAAGCAAAGCATAATGAATTAACTTCCAAACCACCCATTACATTTTCACAGGATTGCTATTTACGTACAACTAAGTACTTTGAAAGAAAAGTAAGAATGTAACAAACATAATTTTTGGCACCTTTCTACAGTTGTTGTTACCAGAAACAAGTGATTGATTGCAATGTTTCCCTGTGAGGTAGAATTTCATTATTACATAACACAGAATACACATCCACCACATTTGAATGTAATCCACTCCAAAGGACAATCACCATGTTATAATAAAAAAGAAGAAAAATTGTCTTAGTAAAGATGACCCATATTCTACCAAAATTTATATGTATTCCCTAGCCCTAATATTCTCATCAACACTACAAATTCCCTTAACAATCTTAAACACCCTCTTAATTCTTCATTTTTCAAGAGGAAATAATTACATAGTTCTTACTCTATCCTCACATGACAACCTTTAAATCCTAGGTATCATTGTAAGTAGTCTCCTCTGAATCCTTTCCTACAATTCAATGCCCTTCCTGAGATAAGGAGCCCAAGACTAAACGCAATACTTGAAAGAAGGCCTGACCTACAAAATGAATTATAACCTCTTTTGACTTATGTTCAATATTTGTAAAGATACATCCTAAAATCTATTTTGCCCTACTACTTGCAAGCAACAGCACAAAGCATGGATGGCTTAAGAGACTGGTCAACCAAAATAACAAGATCCTTTTCTTCTATTACATTCTTAATATTATTCCTGTAAAAATTATATTTATAATTTAATACAGGATCTTTCCCTAAACTAGAAGCATCTCAGTGGTGAAGTTTATATAGGATAAAACAATTACAGTTTACATTGACCAAACTGGACAAAACTGACCAAGTTATGAATGGCCACATAACATATACCTCATAGTTAATGACAGTACTTCTCGTTGCATAAATGTTGGGTCCACTACTCTCTTCATCTATCATTCCCTCTGTTTTTCAGACCAGAGCCTAATACACCTTCAGCAGGTAGCTCCAAGCCTCACTGACCTTGACTATAACTTTGATACTCTCTGATATCTCATTATCAATCACCATTATTCCCTTGATTATCCACATGTGCAAGGTTCTAAGATGTTCGACTTGCAACCTCTGTGGATGTGACCACAAAGGGTTTTTTGGCAGCCCTTGAGGCAAATCCATCTATCAAGCCCTAAGATGTGGCAGCACTCAAAAGTAGGTTTGGTGCTGACAAATTCAGTAGTGATAATAGTAGCCTTCTGCCACATCAGATCAAGAACAAGGTCTCCAACATCAAACAAACAAACCAAGAAAGGTTGCATAATTTGACTTCAGAATCAGAAAACGTAATAAATTAGTGTGTGTGATCATTGCTGGAAAAGTGGTAAGGCAATTTCCAATATCCTGTGTCTCTTTGACTGCTAACTCCCAAATGAAATAAGTTACCATGATATGCATTGCATATTTGGATACAGCAGTATATACAACACCTCCAAGAAATAATTACCAGAATTTCTTGTTCCTTGGCCTTCTACCCAAAAACACTACTTTGTCCTTTGTTGAGAGAGAGAGAGATCCTGTGTTAAATTATGATAACCCACATACATTTATTATGATATATATTTAAAATCATTTCAAAATAATGACTACATGTTTCAATGTGTCACACGTCATCTTCATGTGTGAAGTTGCAAGATATATATTTCACATTTTATATTTTCTTAAATATCACGTGACCTGTTTGTAATTTTGCATTTGTACACAAATATCAGAACAGGTCTCCCACATTATTAAACAGATATTCACTGGACCTCATTCTCTGTTTAATAATTTATAATTCTTTTTAAATTTCATTATTTACAGAGATTCTCGAGTATTAGTTCTGTAATACCTTTGGGTTGAGCTAATACAATTGTTTTTTCCATAATATGTTATGTTGGGTTTTACTTTCATGTTCTGCTATAGCCGATTTTCTGTTTTTTTCTTTCATTTTTTATCCATCTCTTATGTTTGGCTATATTATATTTTAAATTAGGTTTTGTTTGTCCAAAATAGATAGTTCCACATTCAATTTCATAAATTCCAAATTTATCCATTAATTGTACATCTTTACTATTGCCTAAAATTTGTTTTAATATAGAGTAAAACATTTGTTGTTTTTAAAAAATTGTAAATAAACCAGTAGTTAGACCTGAAATATATGGTAACACTAAACATTCCTTTTTAGTTTTATCATAACTTGGTTTCAGTGTGATACCTTGATCTATTATTGTCACATTAGTGAATTTATTAACTGCTCTATCTACAATACTTGGGTTAAATCCTCTGTCAACTGCTATATATTTTATCAGTAACAACTCATTTTTTAAATAATCTTATTTTGTACATATCCTCAAAATTTTGTGAATATAAGTGTAAA